TTTTTTTTTTAAGACATAAGACATAAGAATTTATTTGTCATTACACTCGCAAGCGGGTGCAACGAAATGAGGTGCTCTTCCACAAGTAAAACTAGACAACACCATTGAAAGAAAAATAAAATTAAACACAACAGACCATACAATAATCTCTATACAATTTAAAAATGTAAATATTTTCTTTTAATGATCAGGCTAAGTAATACTTCTTTGGGTTTTTCGGACCCACAGCAAAGAGCTGGCAGACAACATCCCCTATGAAGTCCGACGGGCCCAAGAAATCAACGGCCTCTTTGGTCCGAAGGGCCAGCCTGGCGCTTATGACCTGATCTTCGATCTCCACAACACGACCGCTAGCATGGGTGGGACCCTCATCCTGGAAAGCTCCAGCGATTGCTTTGCCATTCAGATGTGCCACTATATCCAGGTATTCCCAAAAAAATAAAGGGGGGTGAGGCAGGAGACCACAGTGGAGCCCAAAATTTATCTCGTTCAGGGAGAAATTTGTGAAGTGAGCTTTGCCTCATTTTTACAATTTTTCTCTCCATATTTGTTAGGTGAATCACTCCTCATCTTTTAACGACTCCGTACTCCCTTGTGGGGTGGAGTCTGGGCAACGGAATAGAGCTAGCTGAATGTTTCCTGGCCAGATGCCCTTCCTGTCGCCGATGTGGAGTTGGAATAGAATAGAATAGAATAGAATAGAATAGAATAGAATAGAATAGAATAGCAGAGTTGCTATTCCTTGGAGGTCTTCTCGTCTAACCCCCTGCCTAGGCAGGAAACCATACACCACTTCAGACAAATATAAATGATACAGGTTTTTTTTTAAATCTACCTGTCAAAGAGCAGTTGAATTGTCTCACACAATATAAAATGTTCCTTTCTGGAAAATTATTGTTAAACATAAATATTTCTTATGGGTTTTTAGCTCCATGACATCAACTTCTAACCTTTTATGACAAAATGAGAATTAAAAAAATCTAATTTCTAAAGTTGGTGCAAATCAAAGAGTTTTGTTCACCAGATGTATTCTCAGTGTGCCCAGAGAGAGAAAAATATCTGTGTCAATTCATAAAATATTCCTATGCCTGTTATAGTAGTTGCCATTTAAAAAAAATGGTGGGGGGAGGGTCTGGAAGAGCGGTGCAGCAGTTTGGAAGCGAATGAATAGAACCGGAGGGATCTTGGAGGTCATCTAGTCCAATCCCCTGCTCAAGCAGGGGACCATAGACCCATGATGGGGAACCTATGGCACACGTGCCACAAGTAGCATGCAGAGCGCCATTTGTGCCGGCATTCGAGCCGCAGGCAAACACCTCACTGCGCATGCACATGCCTCACAGCTAATTTTTCTGCGGGTTTCAGGCCTTTTTTTGGCCTCCCAGAGGCTCAGAAAAAGCCCCTGCAAGGCTTTTCAGGGCGAATAGGCCCGTTTCGTCACTTCCTGTAATACCGGAAGTGACAAAATTGGCATATTATTTGGCCTGAAAAGCCTTGCAGAGGCTTTTTCTAAGCCTCTGGAAGGCCGAAAAAGGCCTCAAACCAGGTGAAAAATCAGCTTTGAGGTGCAATGCAGGTAAGGAGAGGGCGGGGGCAGGGGGATTGCACACACATTGCATTTTTTGGCACAGGAGCTGAGAAAGGTTAGCCACCATTGCCTTTGACCATTTCAGACAAATGGGGGTCCAATCTCTTTTTAAAAACCTCCAGTGGTGAAGCATCCACAACTTCTGGTGGCAAGCTGTTCCACTGGTTAATTGTCCTCACTGTTGGATTAATTAAGTTTCTCCTTAATTCCAGGTTACTGTTCTGACCAAGGCTTCCTGAGGCAGTAACAATCACACACTGTTCCCAAAACCTTTTGTTTTGTTTCAATGGCTGTGAATTACAGGTATTCACAACCTGTAACTGAGTCCCAGACAGTCCAACAGAAGTCTGCCACAGTCTTTTGGGATAAGGCTGATAAGCACCCACCTTTATCTCCCTTGCAACGCTGCCAACGACTAAATTGCCAATTAGCTGCACTACAAGGCCAAATGGAGCACAGAGTCAACATGGAGCTTTGGATTTTAAAGCGACCAGATTGAACAAAGTTGCTTCCTGCAAAGACTCCTGTCCCTTTGTTCCTCCTTTATGTCTTGTGGGAGGGGTCAATCATCTCCAAGCCTTACTCCTGAGTCTGAACTATTCTTGTCTTCTGACAGCTCTGCGCAAGTGCGCACTGGTAACAGGCCCCCACTGTTCCTCTGCCTCACTGATATTAGATTCTGGAGGCTCCGGTGTCAGCACATCACTCCCAATTGGCCCTGGCTCCATCTCTGTGTCAGACGCAGATCCCTTGTCCGAGCCTTCTTCCAGGACTGGCGCATGTTCCTCCCTACTGTCCGACTCTGCTGCCAGTTCTGCACGCTTCCATTGGACCACAATAATTGCTTCTCTCCTTGGTTAGTTTCCATCCATGAGGAAGTCAGGTTCAATTAACAACCAGGGTTACTAGCTGAAAAACGGCAGTGATTCACTTAATAACTCTGTCACTCAAGGTCATAAAATGAGACAAAACGCACAACTGTCTCGCTTAGCAACAGAAATGTTAGTTGTACAATTGTGGTCATAAGTCTCCATAACGAGAACATTCAACTGATATTTTCTGCAGCATGCTGTGTCCCCAGACAGATGTCCAGTCTTACTTCTCGAACATCCCAATTTGAAATACGCAACGACCCGATCTGTAGCAAAACATCCAATTGGTAAATATTATTATTATTATTTAACCCTGTACCATTTTTAGCAGTGACGTCAGTGGTGGGATTCAGCCAATTTGCACCACTTCGGAAGAACCGGTTGTTAACTTTCTGAGCAGTTTGGTGAATTGATTTTTGGAAGAAATCATTAGGGCGGAGAACCGGTTGTTAAATTATTTGAATCCCACCACTGGGTGACGTGGCGGCTCCACGACGTGGCTAAGATGCTCAGCTTGTCGATTAGAAAGGTCGGCAGTTCAGCGGTTCGAATACCTAGCGCCGCGTAAGAGAGCGAGCTCCTTGTCCCAGCTTCTGCCAACCTAGCAGTTCGAAAGCATGTAAAAAAAAAAAATGCAAGTAGAAAAATAGGGACCCCTTTGGTGAGAAGCGAACGCCATTCCGTGCACCTTTGGCCTTTAGTCACGCTGGCCACATGACCAAAGAGACCTCTTCGGACAGTGCTGGCTCTTTGGCTTTGTAACGGAGAGAAGCATCACAGTGGTGGCATTCAGCCGGTTCACACCGGTTCAGGCGAACTGGTAGCAAGGATTTGACAGGGGGTCGCTGAACAGGTAGTAACTTCTGGCTGGCCACGCCCCAGACGCCATCACACTGTTGCTGCTCGCTTGCTTGCCCAGCCCACGGGAAGCTCACTCACCCCACCCGCCTGACACTAGCCCACCCAGTCACTCCTTAAGGCAGTGGCCCCCAACCTTTTTTGAACCAGGGACCGGTTTCACGATTATTTATTCTTCCACGGACCGGTACCTGAGTAACGCGAGACTCCACCGCCATCGGGGACAGCTCTTCGTTCGAAGCCACCACCACCCTTCGACAAAACTAAGGCGTGAGCACCCAAACGCTGCTTTCCAACCGAAAACCCGGAAGCGCCGTCGAAACAAGATGGCAGCGCCCAAGCTTTGCGGCCCGGTAAAAAATGATCCACGGACCGGTACCGGTCCGGGACCGGTGGTTGGGGACCCCTGCCTTAAGGTATTTCTTTTTTTCTCCTCCCAACGATCAGCTGTTCTGATGATCAGCTGTTCTGGGATTCCCCTTGCTTACTTACTGCTTCACCCAGGCGGCTTCCCTGAAGCCCAGGAAGGCCAAAAAAACCCCTCTGCCCCCCCTCCATTTTTTTTTTTTGCTTTCCTGGGCCCCAAGGAGGCCCCAAAACGAAGTGTGGGGGGGTGCTGTGCCCCCCATCCTCCATTTTTTCCTTCCTGAGCCCCAGGAAAGCCTTCTGGGAGCAAAAATGCCCCCTAGGAGGCTTCTCCGAGGCCCAGAAGGCCCCAAAATAGGATGGGGTGTTTTTTTGCAAAAAGCAAAAAAAAAAAAAAAGAAGCCACGGCCACCTAGTCACGTGGCCACACCGCCTAGCCATGCCCACAGACCCCATAGTAACAAAATTTTGAATCCCACCACTGGAGCACTGCCCCCTAGAGCCGGAATCGACTAGCACGTGCGAGGGGAACCTTTATCTTTACCGTTATCATTTTTTAGCAAACGTCCTTGGGTTTCTAGACACGTTTTCATAATTCAGTTATCGGGCAGTCCTCGACTCTCAACCGTTCGCTTAACGACTGTTCGACTGCCCACCAGTATCCCTCGGTATTCATCCGGCTAGCATCCTGTCAGTGTGCGAGAGAGTTGAGGGCTGTTTGGAAAGTGAAACAGTATTCGTTGTGTGAGCAAAAAGGAGACAGCAAGGAGCCTGGGCGTGGCTTAGCTCAACTGTTCTGTACTAAAGCTGCTTGGTGCTCTGAAACTGAAACTGAAACTGAAACTCCTCTGCTTGTGTTTTGCATTTGGAAGAGATTTCTTTTCAGGTGGGGAGGGGGAGTAGAACTCCTTAGCATCAGAGCGTGTTAATAATAGTAATATAGGAAATACTAATGCTCTGATAGTCATTTCAAAAAATCCTTTCTTAGTGAGCACTTAGAAGCCAAGATAGATAGATACATAGATAAATAGATAGATAGATAGATAGATAGATAGATAGATAGATAGATAGATAGATAGAGATAGATAGAGATAGATAGATAGATAGATAGATAGATAGATAGATAGAGATAGATAGATAGATAGATAGATAGATAGATAGATAGATAGATAGATAGATGATAGGTAGAGATAGATAGATGATAGATAGATAGATAGATAGATAGATAGATAGATAGATAGATAGATAGAGGGAAAGAGAGATAGAGATAGATATTAATAAATAATTAATATATTGCAGAAGGAAGGCCTCTTTCC